GATTAATCACTCAGCTGTTTCCACTTTTAAAAAAAGCCAGGAGAGCACCAAGTTGGAACTTCTAAGAAGGCATTCCTGGGATTCTTTCTTTCTTTCTTTCTTTCTTTCTTTCTTTCTTTCTTTCTTTCTTTTCCTCTCTCTCTCTCTTTTTCTTTCTTTCTTTGAGGCTGCTAACAGGGGTGAAGCAACACCTCAACAGAAGCCACTTCTGACTTTCTCTTTCCCCCTCACTTTGGAAATGTGGCTTTTGTCTTGATCAAGGCACAGGAAGCTGGAGATTCATTATTTGCCAAGCACTATTCCCAGTTTCTGTGTAAGTACTAAGGCTCCTCCTTTCTCATTCTCCAAAGGTGCCTCCTAAATGGTGCCCAGTTCAGATACTCCCACTTTAATTTTCCCTTCTACGTTCTACTCTAATTTTCGACGTCTACGTTGGCTTGGGCATGTTGTGAGAATGGCTGATGGTCATTCCAAAAGATGTCCTGCATGGGGAATTAGTGCCGGGAAATCGCCCCAGAGGGAGACCACAGCTGCGATAGAAGGATATCTGCAAGCGGGATCTGAAGGCCTTAGGAATGGACCTCAACAGATGGAAAACCTTGACGTCTGAGTGTTCAGCCTGGAGGCAGGCAGTGCATCATGGCGTCTCCCATTTTGAAGAGACCCTTGTCCAGCAGGCCAAGGCAAAGAGGCAGTCCCAAAACCAGCAAAATCAGGGAGCTGGACAGGGGACAGACTATATTTGTCTTCAGCGTGGAAGGGATTGTCACTCTCAAATTGGTCTTCTCAGCCACACTAGACACTGTTCCAAGTCCTCCATACAGAGCATGTTACCATAGTCTCTCGAGACTGAAGGGAGCCTAATCTAATCTAATTTTCCCTTCTGGTTCCAAGTGGGAAGTACGGTATTTAGACAAAGCAGCCTTCATCTTAGAGAGAAACTAGTACATTATGATGTAGATTAGCTTCAAAAAGAATGCCTGAATATAGTGGTGAACATTTCCATTACATTGAACAGCTCTTTAAAACAGAATAAAATTGGCAGCCACAGCTGATTTATTCGGTGTTTATTCTAGATGTCTCCAAGTGTTCTCAGTTCATCTTTTTTAAAAAACTGCTTCAGCAATGTGAGCAATGGAAGATTTTGCTTATCTTTTGTAAGAGGGAGGGTGAATAGGGAGATAGCTATTGTGTAAAACCTCTCCCACCTGTTCACAACGGTCCAGATTTAGATGGAGGTGTTGCACACTTGGCAGTAAAAAAGTAAGTGATTCTAAACTGCACATTATTCTAGCAGAAGTGGATTTCTCTGTTACTCCCTTCCCAGGGCAGCCTCTTCAAGCCCTTGAAAATGCTGCATGAGAGGTAAAGAGAACCTGCTGAATGAGGTAAGCTGTGTTTGCAGTGGGGAAGAATCTCTAAAAACTGGGCAGTGATATGTAGATTGGAGTTCTCAGGCTCTGTCTCCAAGAAATTTGCTGTTTTCCTTTCTTTGTCCTGGAAAAAAATAAGCCACGCCTACTCTACTAAAAGTGCACACTTATTCTTGTGAAAGGCAAGACCAGATGCTTTATACAGTCAGATTTGTATTCTGACATACTACTGAACTGATTTCTAGTAATAGTTAAATGTAAGGGTTGGGTGTTTTGCTTTTCTTTTTTTACATTATTATCACCAGCTTCAAGTATTGCTTTTCTTTCAATAGATAACTAATATATAAGTTCCACAACACATCCCTATCTATATCACTGCAAGAACCCTGGACAAGTTTGCTTTTCTTTCAATAGATAACTAATATACAGTATAAGCTCCACAACACATCCCTATTTATATCACTGTAAGAACCCTGGGCAAGGTTAGAACACTTCTCCCAGCAGAAGGGAGATCTTAGACCAAAATATTTATATGAAACATAACATCCAGTTGAGCCCATAAGTAGAGAGAGAGGTAGGAATGGCCTGTGGACCACAGAAAGGTATCTCACCCTCAGATTTGTGGGAGGAGCTGCAGTGTCCCAGTCACACACCACCAGTGGAAGGAGAGGTAGGCTGTTATTTGTGCCAAAGAACTTGTGATATTTCAGTTGAAAGAGAGCCACCTCAAATCCCCCTCAGGAAAACCAGTGAGGAAAATACTCTCTTAATATAGGGTAAAAGGTGCTTGTATCTTCTGCAGTCAAACCTGTCCCTTTTCCTAATTTGCATGCTTGAAAATTCTGAACTTTATAATCATGATAATAGGCCATAGTATAGATTTCATACAAATCCACCATCTCACTTGTTTGCTGTAATTATCAATTTTGTAAAAGTCTGATGCATTCAGACTCTTGGAACACAATTAAATCAAAATTAATCATTTTTAAACTGTATTGGTTTCTGTGTTAGATGTTTAAGGCCATATTTAAGCTGTTCAATTGAATTTGTTTGATATGGAACTTAAAGCATCTTAAGTCTGACCAGACTGTGTCTTGAGTGCTTTGCAACTTGGATCTTTCACCTTGTGAAGTGTCACTCTCTGTCTGTTAAAATGTGGAATTCTCTGTGTATAGAGTCTTAAAGTAATTAAGGGAGGTGTAGAAAAAAGCAGCCCTGAAAATGTACATTGTATTTTTAAAATGAAGTTTGTACACTAGTTTACTTGCAAGCAATTGTACAGTAATATTGCCTTGCTAAGGAATTTCTTTCATGGCTGACAATGAGGTCCTGGGAGATAATTGAAAATGCATGGAAATAATTGGTAAAATGTTGCAACGTCTAGTATAACCAGAGTTGGTGTTTGCTTTATTACTTTATAATAAAGTAACTTGCTGTCTATATTACATTAATAGCAGTACTTTGCTCTTTCTGTGAGTTGTTATCCTTAAAATTACAGGCAGTGCAGACTGTTGGGTTCTAACCCTGTCAGACAAAACAATACTGTAATGTTTATCACCGTAGTGGCAGCTTGCCAGATTTTGAGTTGCAGGTGTCACATTGTACAGGAATTGCAAAAGCAATGGAGATTCCTATTTAAAAATGTATGCTGGTGCATCTGATTTCCATAACTTGCAGGCCCTGGAAAAGAGAATGTTTACAGTTTGGAGAGAAACTGTAAACATCTAGGAGAAATATAATTATAGGGAGGCAGGAGACATACACATTATCATCATTGCAACACAATGCCATGCCACACACACTAGATACCAACAACACTGATACCAGAGATCATGCAACAACAATAAAGGCAGCAGATAAGCACAACATGGATTTTCCATCCCAGATTTAAACTGGCTTGGCTTAGTGAGCAAATAAAATACTTTTCATGTGCGCTATTTATAATATGCTTAAAGGCTAAGAATGTCATTTTCTTTCATATACTGATGAAAAAATTAAAAGTAATTTTTTTATATTTAATGTATGTATTTTCTACTTTTTGATTGTGTCTTCTTAGGCTATAAACTCTTGTATTTTTGAGATGTAATGAAAACATTTTTTTAAATTTACATTATATTGTGCCTTTTATGCTACAGGTTTTGGATTGAGATCTGACTTAAGTATCTACCTGCAACATAAATTTAATGTTCATATATTTTCAAACATTTGTGCCTACAGTTTTTACATAGTATGTTTTGGATGTTTTTCAACAACTCTGAAGTGCTTTTGTGTGCATGGAATATAGAAGCAATGTAGATAATCAAAACCTTGTTGAATTCAACAAGCTGTTTTGCCTGAAATTATTGCAACAATGAAAAGACATATATTAATGCCCAGATGAATTTTCATATGATTGGAAATGGTTGTTTGGTTTCATTCTGGACTTAACCTCTTTTTGGACAAATCCCAGCTGTTACGAGCACAGGCTTCTGATTTTTCCCTAGAGGTCTGTAATGTTCTATCTATAGGGCTCTTTGGATGATGTTCAGGAAACAAACTCTCTGACCTGACACCACTTTAGCTAAAAATTCACAATTAATAACATGAGCAAAATAACCTTTTATTATTGCACATAATCCAGCAGAATAACTGATGGAAAACTTCTGGCAATACTACATGAATTGTCATAATACTTTTTATTAAATTTAAAAGTTGTGATTAAGATATATTGCTTGTGGTGATATATTTGTAGTTTTGTAAGACCTGAAAAAAATTAACAACAAAATCCTATTTTTAAGGCATGCAAACCTGAGGTAAACCTGTTCCTGCTCACCTTAGGAAACAAAACCCTACAAGGCTTATGGCACATTTGTCTGACCCAGTGGCTTATTGGGGATACAGGTTCTACCAAAGGAATGGAAAAGCTTACATAAGCAGAATCTTCCTGTGTGCACCCGAATGTACACAGGGCTCTGGATGCGAGTCGGTATAGAAAAGTTACTTTTTTGAACTAAGTTTTAGAAGAGGTAGCCATGTTAGTCTGGGCTGGCATATCAGGCAAAAACTAAATTAAAAAATTAAAAAATAAAGAAGACAAAAATGTTGTGGCCCCTTAAAGACTAACTGCTATATTTTACTGTGAGCTTCCTCTTATGTCTGAGGAAGTGGAGTTGTCTGTGAAAGCTCACTTTAAAATATAGCAGTTAATCTTTATGATGCCACAATGTCTTCTTTATCTTTTTAGTTTTCTTTTGTTTTTGCCCAATATTTTTGAACTTAAACTCTGGCCATGTTAGTTGAGAGGTTCTGGGAATTGCCAAAATCATGCTAACTCAGGGAATATGGGAGCTGTAGTCCAAAAAAGTAAACTACAAATTTGTAAGTTTGGAGTGCACTTTTGCTGTCATGTTCAAATCCAGCTTTGGAACAATGAGGTATAGACAATTACTTTTAAGAAACAATAAAGACTGAAGTTCTCAGAATTCTAGAAAGTGATGACAGCAAATAAAAAAGTGTTTTGGAGCCACATAAGCAGAATCTATGCTAAGCAACAGGACCACATATTGCCTGAAATCCTGTTGCTTAGCATAGTATAAGTCACATTAGAATAGTTCCATTGAATCAATATAACTTACAGAGGAATTGACTCACCAAATCCCCAAAGAGCCTATTCTAGTGCAATTTATTACACTAAGCAACAGGATTTGAGCCACTACATGTCTACCAGATTATTTCTTGGAAGTAGACTTCTGGGTACCTAATGTAAACACAGCAGTTACTACATAACATAATGAGAAAATGTGTTCACAAGCCCTAAGGATATTGCCCTCATTTTTAAGAAAGAGATACGAATATAAATATGTATACATACAATACATCTAAAGAACTGTCAAAACAGTTCTGCACACAAAATGAAGTTCTGGATTTATCCAGACTGTGGCAACTGCATACAAAATGGAAGCTGCTTTTGAAGGTGACATGTTTCATAAAGAGTTTGTAACTTGGGCAGCATTATCAGCCATTTAAAGGAAAAATATTTCCTTAAAATGCATTGGATGCATATAAGCCTTCGAGCAAAGCTAACATCGCCTGTTCGATCCCACTCTATATTTATATAGGCCAGTGGTTCCTGACTTTGGGTCCCCAGGTGGACTACAATTCCCAGAAATCCTGGCCATTACAGCTAGTGGTGAAGGCTTCTGAGAGTTTTAGTCCGAGAACACCTAGGGACCCAAGGCTAGGAACCACTGATATGAAGCAAATCTACCTGTTTTCTTGTTATATTTTAAAGAAGTACCACAATGTTTATGAAGGAGAACTGGGAGTGAGCAGGAGCAATCCCATCATTTTCCAAAAGGAGAAATTATTGTGTTTCATAATAAATAAAGGCCATTTGGGTGTCTCAAAGGGAAAAAAATAACATACATAGTTAATAAAATGACTGGCATACTGAACTGTACATCTGGCAGCTGGAAAGCCAGGGAAGCCATCTTATTTCAGAGGCAAATGATAGTCTATCTATTACAACACACTTAGAAAAGAGCATTATAATTTGATTATGGTATGAAACCAGAGGGAAAAGGCACAAAATAGCAACACTCCTGTTTTCTAAATTCATTTTCAGCAATTCATGACTTGTAAGTACAGTAATCTGATCCTAAAGCACTATCCTTACTTTATGCCAGTAGCATTGTATTCAGAAGTCTCTCACATTAAGTATACATGTATAAGTAGGATCTGTTTTTTAAACCTACCAATTTCCAGTCTCTTTCTCTCTGTTCTTTTTTTGTAATCAGCTGCTGCCATACTAAGGAGTATAAGTACACATAAAAATTCACAGTTTTAAATAAGGCACTTTTAAAAAGCTTTTCAAATGGATTCAAAAGTCCATGACTTTTTTAAAAAGCAGTGAGGTGTGGGATCTGCAAAAACATTTAAGGCTGATGCATAGACTACATTTGTAAAATTCTGCCAATGGTAAGTCACATTCACACCTAAATAGCCAAAGAAAAGCATAATGGATCTCACTACTGGTCTAAATGTTGGGGCACAAGCAATTTTGAGCAATAAAAGTATGCCAACGCACCAATCAATTGTTAAAGAAGCAAGGATTTGATTAACTAGTATATGCAACAGATCGCATTCAGAAAATAAGCCCCTAATTTGCAGGTTTCCTAAACTCTTAAAAAAGTTAATTCTAATTATGATAACAATATCATAAGGGATCAACTCTGGTGACAGATTACAATTAGATGACTTTTAAGCACCTTTATCCTGAACTCCATGCCAGAAGATGACATGTTTTCTTTCTTTCTTTCTTTCTTTCTTTCTTTCTTTCTTTCTTTCTTTCTTTCTTTTCTTTCTTTCTTTCTTTCTTAAAAAAAACTTATTCCCTAAAATGGGATCTGTTATTTGAAGACATGATCTTTTCCCTGCTTTAAGGTCTGGACTTTTATTAGAATGATTTAGGATAATATTGTAGTAGGGGAAACAGCGTAATCTGCTCCTAACATAGGATTAATAAGAATCTTGGTTGGAGTGGGGACATTGTCCAGAGCTATAACTATTATTCCCAGCTGTTGCACGATTCAGCATTGCGGTGTTCTTTGGGAGAACTGTTAACAATGAGTCTTATACTGAAACCTGGAATTTTCATAGAAGAGACTGTTTCCGTTTCTCCAGCCATAGATGGATTCTTCTTTTCTTCAAACAGCAACATAGTGGTTCACAAAGAGTATGAAATGTTAAGGCAATTCTGGTTAACAACACAAGGAAAAAATGAGGAAGGGAGGTCACAAAATTCAAGGCTTCTTCATCCAGCCGGGCAGAATAGATCACCCATGGTTGGGAGATAAATGGTTCATGAGAAGCACTCAATTGATGCTTATGACCCCAATGCAGCCATAGGGTTCTTCTAAGTGCCTTCCCTTTTATATAGTTTGAACAGATACACTATGTACCGTGCCTGTTTAACACTTGTTGTCTACATCAGTCTGTAAGGGTAAAAGTCAAAAAGAAAAATTAGAGAAACACAATGATAATAGAAATGGTAATACAATAATAGATGGGCATGAACCGCTAGTTCGATGGTTCATGCAAGTTCAGACAATGGTCAAACAGGTGTTCCGTGGTTTGGTGCCCCACCCCCTCTGAAGGGTGTCCACTCAGAGGCAGAGCGTGGAGAGGGCGAGGCAGAGAAATGGAGGCATTGCTTCCAAGTGGGCATCCGCCAGTGGGGGCAGAGTGCCAAACTATGCTTGGCTGTTTGACTGTCATCTGAAATGTTTGGCTGTCATCTGAATTGATTGGCATGAACCACTTTATACAATAATTCTTTATATAATAATTCTCTGTACAATAACTTTAAATATGTCATAATTCTTTATACAGCCTGGAGGCAGGCTGTATACATCACAGCCTCTCCCAATTTGAAGAGACCCTTGTCCAGCAGGCCGAGGCAAAGAGGAAGTCACAAAGAAAGCAAAACCAGGGAGCTGGACAGGGGACAGATTGGATTTGTCTTCAGTGTGGAAGAGATTGTAACTCTCGAATTGGCCTCCTCAGCCACACTAGACGCTGTTCCAAGTCCTTCATACAGAGCACGCTACCATAGTCTTTCGAGACTGAAGGATGCCTACTAATTCTTTATACAATAATTTTTATACAATAACTTTAAATATGTCACTCTTTAAAACCTTTTGGTGTAAGGATCGATAAATTAGTTGATTTCTGATCCACATCAGTTTGGTATAAATTCAAACTCCTTTTCGTTTTGACAAAAAGTCAAAATCCTTTTTGTTCAATCCTTTTTTCATCTGTCTGTAATTTTTTAAAACATGAAAATTCAGATGTATTTTCATATACCACTCCTTCAACATATGTTTTCAAAAATATGCATGTTTTGTGTGTACCTTTTACAAATACATATATTTTGTATAGTTTTTACTGGTATGCATATTCTTGAAGGCAACATTTCCTAATCTACATATACATATATACCGTATTTGCCGGCGCATAAGACGACTTTTTTGGCCCAGAAAACATGCCTCTAAGTGTCTTATACGCCGGCTGCACTTCAATTGGGCCAGGAAGGAACCACCGCCGCTGTTGAGTGAGTGACATGGGGCCGCACCGGCCAGGAAGGCAGGCGGGCAGGCAGGCAGGCAGGCAGGCAGGCGGTCGGTCCGGACGGAGGGAAGGAAGCAGAGCCGGCCAGAGCCTGCCTCCAGGCTGCCCGCCGCTCTGCGCCACTGAGCCAGCTGCCCACTCACCCGCTGCAGCCACTTCTCCTCCTGCTCCTTCTCCTCCTCCTCCTCTGCTGCTGCTGGCTGCTTCCTCTCCTCCTTGCCCTCCTCGTCACCGGCTATGAACTTCCAGGGTGGGCCCGGGCAGAGCTCCGGGCAGCCGCCGCCAGTGCTGCAGCAGAGCCGTCCACTCTATATTTTGAGTGGAAATGTTGGGGGGGGGGTCGTCTTATACGCCCAGTCGCCTTGTACGCCGGCAAATACGGTATATTTAGGAAATGGTCAATGTTGGTAGTACAAGGGACACAGAGGTATCAAGTGACTCTTAAGAGTCTGCATCTGAACATTATACTTTAACTGGATTGAATCCTCTCTCCTATTATCATTTTTGAAGTTTGTTAATTATTTATTCTGCTTTTACTCCAAGATCTCAGAGCTGGATCAGCCATATAATACTGTAGTATTTTGTCCATCTGTCTGCGACCATGTATATGAGAGTCATGCAAAATTTATAATAGATTCAGAGAATTTTGTTTATAACCTGTATACCCAGGGATGGGCAACACAGAGTCTGAAGGTGGCATGCAGGCCCAATCTGCCAATTTTTGTTCCCCTTTCAGCCTGAAATTGCTGTGGTGCTGCTGAATTTTGATAGTGAACTGAATGACATTCTTTAAATAAAAAGGTATATGGGAAGATGCACCTTGATGTCAAGCAGAGCCATCTTCTGGAAGCCTCCTGGAAGGGTATCATATTTATTTCATTTTAATTTATAGTATTTCATAGATTTTTACACCTCCCCATTAGGGCAAGGTACTATTCTGGGTGGTTCACAAACAGTAAAATCAAACAAAAATAACAATAATTCAAACAATTAAAATAATAATAAATTTAAAAATAACATCAGCTAAAACATCACAGAACCATAACAGGGCAGGCAGGGCAAGTGGCAAATTTGTGTGAGGTCGCCATCAAAAGCTTCTATGAAAAGCCATGTTTTAAACAATCTCTTAAAGGTAAGAGATCAAGGTGCAGCTTGATCTGGAGTCGGTTCCAAAACTCTGGTGCCAGAACCAAGCTTAAGAACAACATGCATGTTCTTCATGTGCTATATTTAAAGATAATTGAAATTTAGCTGTGTGGCAGCAACTTCCTTAGTGGCAAAGGCAGGGTGCAATATCCTGAGGAATTTGAGGGGTGGGGGGAATAGTTTAGCTTGATCTCAAGCTCTGATATACATACCTTTTGGGGGAGCAAACCCCACTGAATTCAAAGGAATTTTGTTTTCGAATATTCATTAGGCTCATGCGCCACACTGGAGAAATAATCATTGTTGTGCACTAATAGGTACACAGACAGCAAAGGTGTCCACTCATAAAAAGTTCAAAAGAGCAGTTTTCATTTCCCAAAATGTCAGAACAATGGGACATTTCACACCAGTCCATCATCCTTACCTTGTCTTAGCATCTCATCATGTCAGAAAATGCACAAATAAGATGGACAAGCCAACATTCAATAAGATGACCATGCAGATGATGACAGTGTTAGGTCCCTAAGAGGGAAAAAACACAACAGTATAATATTACCTACTGTGATTTAAAACCAAGACAAGGGCCAGTATCCTATTGCCTAAATGAGGAGGAAATTACTTAAGTGTCCCCTCTCATGCCCATTCTCACATGGCTAATATAGATCCGCCTCCTGAACAAGCCTGTTGTTGATCATAGAAAATACTTTATAGCTAGTAGCAAGCCATTCAGATAAAGGGCATGTATGCCTGCCACAACAAGTGAAAATGAGGTAGCATGATGGTACTGACTGCTCCTATAACAACAGAAGCTTCAGCTAAACAAACCATATACCCATTTGTTTACTATGACATGCAAACCTGGCACTCTTAACTTTTCCATCTGGACAACCAGAATCATAAAGCAAGAACCAGCCATGAATTCTTGGTTGTAAAGAAGAAGACCTGCCAGAAGGCTAGAGTTGGACATGGTAAACCAACCATAGATGGAATATTGTTTCTAAACAAAACTCTGACACATCATGGTCACTGGATGGATATCCATTCTAATTTGGAGAAGTGGTAGGATGAGAGAGGAGAGGTAAAGAAAACCTACAAAACTATTTTTTTCATACTTCTTAGGATTTATTTTTCCCTAATCATTGCTTAAAAGGGACGTGGTGGCGCTGCGGGTTGAACCGCAGAAGCCTCTGTGCTGTAGGGTCAGAAGACCATCAGTCATAAGATCAAATCCATGCGATGGAGTGAGCTCCCGTCGCTTGTCCCAGCTCCTGCCAACCTAGCAGTTCGAAAGCATGTAAATGCAAATAGATAAATAGGTACCACCATGGCGGGAAGGTGACTGCATTCCGTGTCTAGTCACGCTGGCCACATGACCACAGAAACTGTCTACAGATAAATGCTGGTTCTACAGCTTGGAGACAGGGATGAGCACCGCCCCCTAGAATCTGACACGACTGGACTAAATGTCAAGGGGAGCCTTTACCTTTTTCTTTAATCATTGCTTATCTGTATTTGACCTGAGGAGAAATGCTAACATCTAGTGCTAAATACTGAGTTCGACCCTGTCAAGTGGTGGAAACATAGAATTTACAGTGGTGTCTCGCTTAACGATTACCTCGTTAAATGACAAAACCACTTGACGATGAGGTTTTTGTGATCGCTTTTGCAATAGCAAAACGATGTTCTAATAGGAAAAATTTGCTTCATGATGATCGGTTCCCTGCTTTGGGAAACATTTTTTCGCTAGACAACTATTTTCAAACAGCTGATCGGCGGCTCTAAAATGGCCGCCCGCTATGCAAAATGGCTCCCCACTGTGCTTTAGGACGGATTCCTTGCTATACAGGCACCGGAAAATGGCCACCCTATGGAGGATCTTCGCTTTACGATGAGGTATTTAGCCCATTTGAATGCACTGAAGGGTTTTCAATGCGTTTCAATGGGTTTTTAAAATTCGCTTGATGACGATTTCGCTTAACAGCGATTTCGCTGGAACGGATTAACGTCGTCAAGCGAGGCACCACTGTATATTCAAACTGAAACAATGAAGCTCTGAAAAACATACTTTCACATCACAACAAAGTGTCAGGCCAGGCCCCTTCTCCCAAGATGAGGTATCCAAATGTGCAGTATCTTTAGTTAGTGCACATGAAAACTGTCCTAAATTCTACTGCTAATCCCAATTAGACCAGACCTTTGGCATCAAGGCCAAAACTACACACTGGGGAGAGGTTGGGTGGAATTCACTACCCCTGCACATGATGCGAGCCCAACTGCAGTTTTAAAAAAGCACTTTTTAAAAACTGCACTATGGCTTCAGTTGCCAGTCTTTCACTGCTGGGAGTCTTCCTAGCTTCTGACAGCAACGGGGTCAGAGCAGCAAAGTCCTTGCCCACTGAACATATAATGAAAATTGAGTCACTGGAGCTATCCCTCAGTCAAGAAAAACATCATAGGCCAGCTGGTGCCAGCTGGTGACACTGGCCAGCTGGCAAGATTGTTCTTGCTCAGGGGGAGGAGAGGCAGATCCAGCAGTTCTGGGTTCTGCTGCATGTCAAGTGGGCAAGGACTCTCACATGCTCCCCTGGGTTGTCAGTATCCAGGAAACCTCCAAGCACTGGCTAGCAGGCTGGAACTACACATTCTGCTTCCATGTGAAAAATCACATTAAAGCAGGATGTGTGTTGCTCGTTTGCAGATAACTGATTCAGAGGCTCTCTACAGTGCTTGGAACTAGGAATTATGTTCAAGCCAACGGTAATGAGTAAAATAAATGGAAAATGTTGCAAGTCCTATGTTCCTGGCCTACTAAAAAACACCTCCCCTTCTTCTGTGGTGATCATGCAGCATCACCTCTTCAGGTTCTTCCACTTCTTTTGCTGCTGCTTCTTCAGGAGGAGCTTTTTTCAACGCAGTCTTGGGCTCTATTTTGGCCACCACCTTTGTTTCAATCTTCCGCTCCACCTTTTCTTCAGCTGCCATTTCTCCTTTCTCTTCTACTTTGGGCTCCAGCTGAGGGTGTTGCTTAGGCTCCTGTTTAGGTTCTGCTTTGAGCATTTTTTTCTCTTCATGCACTGGCTCATGATGATGAGAGACAGGTGTCCCTCCCCTCTTTTCTGGCTCCACTTTGTGTTCAATAGCCTTCACATCAGCTTTTGGCTCTGGAGAAACTGGCTTAGCAGGCAATTTGGATTCGGGGAATGATTCTTCCTCATAGTCCATTGGGGGAGTAATTGGAGAGGTCCTCACAGCATAACTGTGATAACCTTGAAACAACGCAACATCACCTTCTTGTTCTATCCTTTGAAGGGGTTTGATCTCCATCTGGTCAGCAGCAGCCCTCACTTGAATATGTCGGCTGGGGCTCTGGGAAGTGGGCCTGCTACTTGTTGACTTCTCTGCTGGTGCCGCAAGAACCTTAGAAGGTGTGTTTGGCCTACTTCCTGTGGTACTCCCATCCTTGCTGTGATCTCCATTCCAATTTCCAGGGCTAAGAAAGCCATCTTTCTGAGGGCTCTGCTTAGCACGCTTGGCCTCTGATGGTGTTCCAGATGGTGAAGGAGTTCGAACTGGACTTTCCTTAGGTTTGGTAGAATCATCTTCATCAACCACAGGACTTTCTGGAGTTGTTGGTGGAGGTGGCTGTTCCACAGGTAGAGCCCCTTCTTCCATATTTTCTTCATTCTCCATAAGTTCCTGGAGCAGCCTCCTTTTCAAGTATTCAGGGCCTAGTAAGGAAAGAGAGCAAGGTCTGACTTATTGATAATAAACAGTCATAGGGATGGTATAAAGAGCCTTGTGGTACTGTGCTTAAACTGTAGTACTGCAAACAAAATTCTGATCATTCATGACCTGTGTTCAATCCCAGGTTCATTCGGCCTTCCATCCTTCTGAGGTTGGTAAATTGAGTACCTAGCTTGAAGGGGGTGGGGGTAAGGGGCGGCCTGCATAATAAAATTGTAAATCATGCAGAGAGTGCTTTGAGCACTATGGGGCAGTATGTAAACAGCACACTTTGCTTTTTTTTAATTTTTAGATTATCTGGACCACAGACATTGCAATTCTCCATTCTGGGAGATCCACCTGCCTTGCACACATCTGACAAACACTTCCATGTGATAGATCTGGGAGAAAGAAGGCATTGAGGCCTAACTATTCCAAGCTCTGTCCAAGTGGAAGTATATAAAATATACTTAAAATTAAAAAAACACAAATTAAAACGTCAAGATAATTAAACTATTATTGATTTCCATGAAGATATGCACATCTAGCAAGACTTATTATAATATAAATGCAAATACAATGTATCACACCAGAGTCAGGTAGACTGTGACCACATGGCCCGTGTGCCTCTTAGTTACTGTCCAGATGCTAATTATGGGGAACTTCAAGGTCCTTGCTCTCTTTTTTTTAATAGCTCTTTATTTTCAGCTAGACTTGGATTGGACAGTTCTTCAGCTTATCATTCTATTCTTATCATTATGAAAGGCAAGGCAAGCAGAAAAATCACTCGCTTCAATGCGTTCTGAGAAATTGATGTATCGTTTCATCTTACTAACTTTTACACACTGCAAAGATGTGTAACCTACGTTTAGCAATGGTGTGATAGATGGCACATAAGACTGGCCATCCATCACAAAGAAGTGTTGAAAGACTTTCATGCAACAAGGGGAAATGAACTAAAACTAACAGTCTATGAATGGTTACTTAAGAGGAACCTAGAGAAGTTTAAGACAGTTAAAGATACTCTATGACAAAAGTAAAAACAATAAAATTGTAGCACCTTAGAGACTAACAGATACAGTATATTTCAGTGTCAGCATTAATGGAGAAATTAAACTGTAATCCACAAAAGCTCACACTAAAAAAGCTCATATTAAAATCACACTGAATAGTTCACACTAAGAAAAGATGAACAAGTGGATGCTAGATCAGTTAGCCTGAACAATCTCTAGAGGCAAAAATGTTGAAATTGAGGCTGCCCTACTTTGAGAGGTCTCCAAGATATCCTTTCCTCAACTGCTCTGCTCAGTTCTTGTAAACTCAAGCTTGTGACTTTCTTTACAGAGTCAGCCCATCTCATATTTGCTGTTCCTCTTTCACTACTGCCTTCAACATTTCCAAGAATTACTGTGCCCCAAGAGACAGCTTGATTTGATCTACTTGTTCATCTTTCTGGCAGCCCAGGGTGTCTGCAAAGCTCTCCTCCAGCACTACATTTTAGATAAATCAACATTTTTCCTGACAGCATTCTTTATCATCCAGCTTTCATACTCATACATGGCGATCAGAAATATAAGAATGTGGATGATCTTGGTCTTGGGCCATCTGCAGTAGCAAAACTGGGCTAGCTCTAGCATTCATTATTTTGTAATGAAAGCAATGGTTCTTTAAGTATATTTGTTAAAGTTTAGCTGCAACAAGTCAGCAAAGGAAGGTGTGGATCAAGTAACTCAAAAGTTTTTTTTTAAAGGGTGAGCCAGATACCAAGTCAGCCCACCTGCCTCCTCTGTAATTGGTGCCTAGGGAACCAAACTACCTCCTTTGCCTACTGCTGGACCTGATTTGCACACAAAATTCTAGATGGGAGGACTTCCCTGGGCTCCAGAACTCTAATTACACAGGCTTAACATCTGGACAGTTTTTTGCATGCAGATGTTCACATCAGTAGGCTTCCATCCCAACAGATGCAGAGATGGGAGATATGTCTTGTCAAGGGGCAGGGCTACAGGTACAGGCCCTCAGCTGCTCTGCACATTTTACTAGGCTAACACAAGACATTTTACTGCCTGAGGCAGAACAAGAAAGGGCACACAGAAACCTGTATCTCAAATCAACATGCATAGTACTCAAAGCTAACCAATTATTTTGACACATAAGACATAAAATACTACAAGTTCTTCTCCCCATTCCAAGCAGTTTAACCCAAACCCTTGTCCCTTCATGAAAGCCTGAATTGACATGGTTGCATAAGCTATTCTCAAATTTAGTGCAGTATTTTTTTCCTCATGAGTAAACTGCACCTATTTGCCTGTAAGAGGGGAAAAGAGAAGTTACATTTCAGAATACGTCTGGGATGGAGAACAGTGACCTCAGTTATTTCTTATGAGAATGACATTTGCATTAGCTCAGCTGTGTCTCAGAATGGAACCTAAAGAACTTGATGGGATCTATTAAGAACTGAAGAAGCCCGCCTTGGTGTTTGCTGCTTCTTATTTACAGTGTGACAGAAGTTCTGATCTCTTACAATAAAAGTGCATGGCAAATGCAATGTCCCATATTAGAACCAGGCTTGTTCAATTAAGCGTTCCAAAAGGAAACCAAAGACTAGCATGGATACTGGAACCTGGCAGGCAAACTTTGTCTATAAATGAATCTTAGCCCATCCATGCTTAGTACATTCACTATAAAGAATTACTTGGAACAAATAGCATAGAGATAGGTCTCTGGCATAAGGAGAGCTGTCAGATGTGTGCCTTTCCCACTAATAAGGTTGCTCATCTGTAGCACTAAGATCCCATTGAGAACATTGGACCTGTTGACCTATCTCCATAAAACAAGGTGACTTCTGGATTCAAATTTCACTCTGTCCTCATTTGACTAGATTGTGTCATCGTCACCTAGCAGCATTGCCATAGGCGACATTAAATGTTGATAAACCTCAGACCGGGGGGGCTACGTGGCAAGTTCCTTGTCCGTCCCTTAAATAAACCTGTTTATGAACTGAAAAACTATCTTAATTAAGTACTAGAGATTTGGAGTTTGTGAATTTGCAGGGTGTGTGTGTGTCAGTGATCCTTGAAGTTCCTTCTGACTTCTATGATTACATGAGAAGACTGGAAGCCTCTAGTCTCCATTAAGGTCAAACAAGGGAACTTTCACACATGACATTTAAATGAGTCTACTCCACAAAGGTTAAACCTATACTGGTTAAAATTTTCATTCAAGTTCTGTCACACGTTTTGGTCTACAATAAGAACAATTTGCACATAAAAGATAAAGTAGAAGTGCAAAAGCAGTTTTTAATGTTTAAAATTATTAAAAGTCTTCTGAAGTGCAGGTGAGTATAATTTTTGTACTTCATAAAGTTAAGAGTATATTGAAGACTGAGTATACAACAAGGCCCTACACAAAACCCTGCAATTTAATTGCAAAAGGCACACACCTGCTACTTAAAATCTAGCAAAACATATATGTTAAACCACTGAGCGATTAAGAGTTTGGACCAAATTGATGTCATGTTTAATTCCTAGGACAGCTGTTGAGACCAGAACTGCTTTCTGCCTTTAAAGCCAATTTTGCAAGAGCATTTCAGAATTTGAATTTAAAACAAATTCAAACATTTGGAATTCAAAGAAGTAAATCTAGTCTGATTGGTTGATTGATTGATTGATTGATTGATTGATTGATTGATTGATAAAGAAAGAAAGAAAGAAAGAAAGAAAGAAAGAAAGAAAGAAAGAAAGAATATTTTTTCTTGTGCCTTTCTCTTCAAAAAGACCCAAGGCAGCTCCTTAAGGTAATGGACAGTAAGACCTTTTTTTATGCCCATGGTGTTGGCTGGAATTTTCTGTAATGACTCTGGCAATCTGCCTCCACTGTGTAGTCAGCAAGGATAATTTTAACCTGTGAATGAATCTGAGAAAACCAATAAGTGATTGCCTAGACACTCCTGGAACCAAAAGGCAATGTACATCAAGGGCTTTAGTAGCTGTGAATCTAGGCCATGTGACACTGCTTGTAATCCTGAAAAATTCTGCTGAAGCTAAGAGGAATATCTTCTGGCAGACAGATATATTTGGCACAGACTGTGCTGTGTGAAAAGAGGACAATGAGGGCCAACTGATTCAATAAACAGAATCAATTCGTAAAATTTAACCTCGGTTTCATCATATTAGCATACAGGTAGAATAGTGTTTGGGTAAATTTGCCACTCTGAAACCTCCCTGATGCATTTGTAGGTGGGAACAAAAAGCTAACCTAAGGGCAAGAAGGGTTCGGGGCAGCCTTTCTTTCTGATATGTTAAGGCTGTCTGCATGTCAGGTTGTCTACATGCCAGTCAGAGTACATTCTCTTAAATGCACGTCCAACCCAATCTGCTATAATGTAAAACTTAATTCAAAGACCTCTTCTAAGAAATTCCAGCTTGACATTTGGGGGTTAAAATGAGGAGAATGTTGAAACTAGACCCTGAGAATTCTGAGTGCATGTAACATGGTAAAAGGAACTCCATAATGGCTGAAATCCTAATGCTTAATATAGTAAGTTACAACTACAATAGGCCCAGGGGACCAACGGAACTTACAGAGTTGACCCATCAAATCCCTGCTGGTTCAATGGGTCTACTCTAGTTGTGACTTATTATGATAAGCAACAGGATTTCAAACATTCTGGGAAAGTATATCTCTAAATACCAGTTGCTGTTGGGCAAACAATCTAAGAAGAGAACTCTTGCTTGGATCCCTTGCTTCTGGGTCTCCCAGGATCATCTGGCTAACCACTGCAGGAGACAGAAACATGTTGGTGAACTGCGTGGAGTACTGATTTGATCCAAGACAAGAAACTTTTCTCATGATCTTAAGCCCCTTAGGGTCAACCCTATCACTGGGCAACATAAGGCATACACCTCAAGGTGTCATGAAAGAGGAGCAAATTGTTAGTTATTTAATTTATTGATTTTTTATAATTTCCAGGGACCAGAAGAAATTGTGGGTTATTCTCTTTCAGGTGCCAAACAACCCCTTTGGTTTTCAGTATTATGTGTACCTTGAATTGGGAATCAATTGCTGTTTTACGTCAGGCAGCAAAATATGTTGGGGCAGGCCTGAAATTTTAGGTAATGTGTCAAGTACAAATCTCTCTCTCTCTCTCTCTCTCTCTGTGTGTGTGTGTGTGTGTATGAATAGTTGACTGATTAACATATATACACGATGAATGGGGAGTAATATGAATACAGTATCACCATGATAAAATGAATAACAGATTACTTTTTCAAAACAACATTACAGATCAAAACTTCGATTGTACAATGCACACAACATTTTTGTAGTCCCCTCCCACCAAAGTAAGATTCTCTGGTGTTACAGAGTCCATGCAGTGAACAGCTAATACTACAGCCCTGAAACAGGGCTTCTGTGCTGTTTGCTAGAGAACATTCACTTGACGGTCACTTGCTCATGAAAAAACAAGTAAACTATCAGTTTGCAATTCATTCTGATAACAAATCAAAGGCTCAGTGCCACAATCTGTTCTACACAGCTCTATACTGAAAGGGGGGGCAGGAATGTGAGATGTATATTTATTTTAGCCTGCTTACTGAGCCTGCAGGTTCCTGTCAATCATAAAAAAACTCATTCAGGGCCATTTATTTCTGGCTTCAAGCAGGTTATTTGGAAGCTATTTTCACCAGTTGCTCAGACTTCTTAAAATAGCACCTAGCAGATTGATCATTCGTGGTCTCTTGTCTCTCAGCTTGTGACATCTTTTTCTTCTGACTAAATAACACAAGCATCATTGCAATACTGGCTCTATTTCTTTACAGCCTCTGTTGATTTCTATGAACACCTCCTGTTATCTCACAGAATGCATAATTTTCTCAAAAGCACTTTTCTACTGTGTAATCAAATTACATCCTGGGAGCTATACTACTTTCTATATTAAATGCATAACATGATGTCAGAAATCTCTCTCTCTCTCTCTCTCTCTCTCTCTCTTAAAAAACAAACATTGACATGCAGCCCTAATATGGATCAAGACCATCATGCCTGCTCAGTTTTTATTTGAAAATTCATCTGGCTCTTGCCCTACCAAGAGAGGGGGGAAAGGACACACATCATGTACATACAGCATAGAGGTCAACTCTGAGTTGGTCAAGGTACAGATTAAATCAAAAATGTACTCGTATATGTATGTTTGTGCACCATAGGTACATGCCTACATTTGTTGCTATGCACTGTCAGGTTGCCGCAGAGACATCACTTTGCCAACAAAAGTCTGAATAGTCAAAGCTATGGTTTTTCCTGTACTGATGTATGGAAGTGAGAGCTGGACCATAAAGAAAGTTGACCACCAAAAAATTGATGCTTTTGAATTGTGGTGCTGGAGGAGACTCTTGAGAGTCCCCTGGACTGCAAGGAGAACAAACCTATCCATTCTAAAGGAAATCAACCCTGAGTGCTCACTGGAAGGACAGATCCTGAAGCTGAGGCTCCAATACTTTGGCCGTCTCATGAGAAGAGAAGACTCCCTGGAAAAGATCCTGATGTTGGGAAAGTGTGAAGGCAAGAGGAGAAGGGGACAACAGAGGATGAGATGGTTGGACAGTGTCATCGAAGTGACCAACATGAATTTGGCCCAACTCCGGGAGGAAGTGGAAGACAGGAGGGCCTGGCGTGCTCTGGTCCATGGGGTCACGAAGAGTCGGACAAGACTAAACAACTAAACAACAACAATTGTTTTTAATTATGTACGCTTCCTTGGGTCCAGAGAAAGAATGAAAGAAAAAGAAAAAGTAAGAAAGAAAGAAAGAAAGAAAGCCGCCTTGTTGGTTTAAATGTACTTTCCTGATCTCTGCTTGCACAAAAGTGAGCGAAAGGAAGTACACCAATGTAGTATTATGTTCTGCCAGTGTTCCTCAGGATTCTGCCCACTCAGGCCAAAAAGGAGGGTGCTGAATTCTTCCCTGCCTGCAATGTTCTCTTCCACAGGCATTTTTAAGGTGATACAGCATTAGTGCCCTTCCAGAAGAAAAACCACTCAAGATACAAAAAAAGCATAATGTAAATGATTCAGCATCTTCAACCCATGCTGAATGTTGACTGGTCCCTCTTTCTGATTGTTTTACAGGAAGTCAGCATAACCCATTTTGGCCAGAATCGTACTAGAGGAGTACTGTTGAATCAGTATTCATTAAGGGTTAACTCACAGTTCAACAATGGATTCAGTGGTGTGCTGTAGTTGGTACTAGTAACAGGATTCACAGCATTGTACTAAATGGTTAATGTATAGCTTGACTCTGAGTCACTGTGCCTGGTGTAAAAAAAAAAAACAGGTTTGTGCTTAGAATCTGACTGCAGGTGACATAATCTTAGTAAATCCCATTTCCTACCTGGCTGATAGAAGTCTGGAGACAGTTCCCTGGCCATCGACCTGGCTAAAGCGGATTCGTTGTTAGCTGCCACTGCAGCTTGCTCTGCGCTTTCTGCCTTGGCTTTGGCATGAGCAGTCCTAAGGAAAAGAACACCACAGGGCATTCAATATTTCCAGATGCTACCTTATGTTGAGTTCACACAGCAAGAATTCCTAACTGGCCATTCCAACTTCATTATTTTATGTTCAAGCAGGATACCAGCTTGAGGGAAGAATTCCACAACCTCATACCTTTAAAAAGCCAGCACACAATTCTGAAATCGTACTGAAACGATAATACAGTTTATCATTCATTATGATACCCTGTTTCCCCGAAAATAAGACCTAACCTGAAAATAAGCCCTAGTATGGTTTTTCAGGATGCTAGTAATATAAGCCCTACCCCAAAAATAAGCCCAAGCGAAGTGAAACCCCCGCCCTCCACCATTGTGCAGCATGGTGCAGCAACCAGAAGATGACATGACTGTAAAATAAAACATCCCCTGAAAATAAGCCCTAATGCATTTTATGGAGCAAAAATTAATATAAGATCATGTCTTATTTTCAGGGAAACATGGTATTTCTCTGAATATGGCGATTCAGAGAAGCACTAAAATGCATATAGCTAGGAAAATTTCAGAGAAAAATACATAGGTATGTTAAGGGGGAAATATCATACGAAAAGGCACATGTTAAAGAAAAGAGCTTGGAAAATGTGTATACTCAAGGAAATTGTACAAAAAAATGCATATGAATTTTCATGCACACAAAAATGCAAACAAATACCTGGGTGATTTTTTAAAAAGTTTACACACCAATGCAGAAATTGAATTAATTTATACTGAAAAACCTGTGGAAATACTTGCACCTTAGAGTGAAACATTTTACAAAGCTCATACTAGTTCCCGAACATGCAAACAACTTTATATTGTGCTAACAATGCTATTTGGATAATACAGAGGACAGTCAGTGTCTTTATGAATACAGTACATCCCCACACACTTCAGTTTTCTTTGTAGTGAAGGCACAGATTACCCCAAAGAGAGATATTACTATTCTTTGAAGGCAGTCCTACATTAGAATGTATTCAGTAACCTGCATCTTGTTTAAAAGCACTCCAGTTCCTTACACATGGAGAAGCTCTTGGCTAAGGAGGTAGAAAACTGCAATTTGAAGCCCTGATAGCTCACAGAGGCCCCCAAGAAACTGTAAACAGACAGAGTGTCTCCTTTTTTGGTGGTGTGTAATCCTTGTGATTAATTCCAGTGTAATCAGTGGAAGGCTGGGTGGTATATTTATGTCTTTTCATGCCTAAAGAACTGGTGTTGAATGCAAAGTGCAGGATATGTAAAAATACCAAGGGGAAACAGTCTATATTACAGACTTATTGAAAGTTTCAGCTCTGTAAAAAAACTGGAAGCAACACTGAACAATACACTCCAATAAAACTCCCCCTGGACCTGGAGCAATTGACTGAAGATGTATGAAGGATTCAAATTAAAGGTTCTTTCAGGGGGTGCCTTGTTTATTTTTGTGTTTTTTGTGTACTTCTCCTCTCATTAACAATGAAAGAGACTACCTCATTGGAGTCATTGTGTTTAATATTTCCCCTCCATTCATGTTTTTGGGTGCTGGTCCAAAACATTCCTAAAGAACATGCGAAAGAAAGAAAGAAAGAAAGAAAGAAAGAACGAAAGAAAGAAAGAAAGAAAGAAAGAAAGAAAGAAAGAAAGAAAGAAAGAAAGAAAGAAAGAAAGAAAGAGGTAAGGCAACAAAGAATCGATTTATTTCAAAATCATGCAACGAATCACCACCACTATCACCATCAAACCAAACAGTCCCTCTCCATCCACTAAAATATACAGCTATAGAAGATATATACAGCAAATCAAACAAATAACAATTGCAGAAGACAGGCACCAAAACATAGTCCAAGAAAGCAAAGGATCAAGGGGAGGGGGGAATCCCCAAATAAATTGGGAGGGGGAAAAATAGAGGTGCACTGGTTTAGGCAGGCTGCCTGATCCAAGCAACAAAAACAATTCAAAGAAACTGGGGAAAATCTCCTCAAAAAATCAAGAAAAAAAGGCAGGAAAAGGATCCAAGATGGAGGATGGCAGCAAGCAGCACAATACAAGATGGAGGGCACCAGGAGCTTGCACACCAACAAGGAATAATTGAAGCAGAGAAAAAGCACTTCTCTCTGGGTTCCAAATTATCCAGGCCATTTTATAACTTAAAAATTCCAATTCCCTCTAACATTCTGACTGGCCGCTAACAGCAGCCCTCATGACACTATTTGATGAAATACGTCCAGGGAAAGGTGACAGATACCTTGTGGAAAAAAGATTAAGTGAAAGAGGGAAACGTGAGAGAACATAAAACATTAATGTACACCTTTATGCACATCTGGCATATAAATCTTTTTCTGGTCCTTCCTGAAGATGCCAAGGACTGAACATGGACACTTTTCCATGCATCAGGCTGAGCTTTCTCCAAACGGAAGATAAGGTGCTGCAACCTATGTTCTCAAATGTTTGTTGCAGCATAGAAGTCTCTAAAATGAACATATAGGTGAGCTGGCCATTTTGGTGCCACATAATTTCTTCTGTTTATTAGCAAAGCAACTCAACAAATCTAGTCTTTCAAATTGTTGAATAGTCAAATGGTATTACCTGGGAAAAGTGGATCTGTACTACTTGATAATCTTGATGCTACAAAATGAGCATTTGAAATCGCTAGTATGTCAGCTCAACTATTATAGTATGCTTAAGTATAACAGGCCGGGGAACTATTTCAGTTTGCAACAAGTATATTTGCAGGAGTACAGAGGATTGCTGTAGAGTTTATGGTAGTAATATAATAGTATAATTGTGTGCCATCAAGTCAATTCTGATTTATGGTGACCCTCTTCTGATTTTTCGAAGTAGACAGTATGCAGAAGCGGTTTCCCATTCCCACCCAGTGTGGGTGCACTGGGATTGTGCCCAAGGCCACACAGCCTGGCTCTTCTGAAAGTTCAGTGGGGAACTGAACCCCTAACCTGATGACGTTTCGGCGCCAGGTCTAAACTTCCTGTTCCAGAAGGCTTTTAATTGAAATAATATAAACTGTGGGTCCTGATGGCTATTTTTAGAGTATATTGCTTTATTTTTTTAATTGCATGTTAATTGTTGTAAGCCGCCCAGAGACCTTTGGGTAGAGTGGGCAGCATATAAGATAAATCAATCAATCAATCAATCTCTGGCTCTCTGAGTTATACAGCCAGCCCCTCATAGTGATAAAGGGAAATAGAAAACAATTCAGTATTCTTTCCCCAGAATTAACAAGAAGGGGAATGAGTTGATGTAGTTGAAGTACCTCCTTTCTTTTTATTTGAAATCCCTCAGACAATAACTATATGACAGAGAAAGTTTGGACCAAGCAGTGTTTTCTCCAGTAATATAAAGTTTTGCTTTCTTTAGTCCTTAGTGAGCTTGGAGGAATGGCAACAAAGAAACACAGCAACAACATAAACTAATCCCTCATTAAGTTAATCCAGGTCTCCAAAAGACAAGTTTTTTTCTCCACAAATCCTGCTGTGTTTAATGCTTATCATTTGCTGTCTAGAGTTCTAGAATTATTCTTTCAGTCCATTTTAAGCAACTTCTTTCTTTTAAACATGTGTGTGTGCATCCATTCTCTCACACATAGGGGGCCATTTACACATTCCCATAAAAGAGGAAGTGAATCACATACACACAACAAAGACAAGGAACAATAATTTCACACGTATAATACTAGTTTTTTTTTTTTTCATAAGTTGTGCCTTTGCAACACCAAATACTTTGAGTGACTCCCATTGTGTGGTTCAGGTAGGAATTGTTGAGGACATATTCGAATTGCTATTCTTATTCCTGCTTTAATTCTGTAATGGTTCCTTATCTTCAGACTTGTTCAGTCAGAGGACATCTTCAAGCAGAAGATCAGTAACAGAACAGAGGACTTGCTTCTGTAGAACAGGGAAAGTGGGTGCTCTTAATATATGGAAGCATGACAAGTGACAGCTCGGCAGATCAGTCTTCCAACTATAAACAAGATTATACTGAAATAATACCTTTCTTATGCAGGAATGGTAAAGTGTACAGTGGGGCATTCCATAAAATCAGGACCATTACAGTTGGCACTAAAATGGAATCATGCACAATGAGAGGAAGAAAGTTTAGCAAATAGAAAGATAAATTGCTACAATGTTTCAGTAAGATGGCAGGCATCCAGCCATTTCTAGGGAAAATAATCAGTGTTCTGTGATCTGATCTTGAAATAAAAATTTAACATTAACATCCATCTATCTCTCAGTTGATTCATTTTTTGGCTTTCTCTACAAGACGATGACAATATTTCCTAGACAGTACTTTATGAACCTTCTTGAATCTCCCCAGTTAGAACATTGTCCCTTAATTCCCTCTTATTTAATAAAGAGACAGATGCTAGGCTCTACAGCATGGGTTCCCAACGTCTTTTGAGTTGTGACACCCTTTTATAATATGCCATATTGGCATAAATAGACTTCAAAACTGGAGAGGGAACAGGCTGGGGGAGGTTACAGGTAGGGAGAAGAGAAGGCAAAGGACGTCAAAGATGGGCCAGGGGGTGGAAGGATATTGCAATACCCAGGGAAGGGTCAAAACCTTAATGCAGAGGTTATCCCCCTCAGAAACCAGCACAATGTGTGTGTCGTTTTTAAATTCCCCTCCTGGAGACCTGGGTGTTTGTGTGTCTGTGTGTCTTTTTCCTTTTCCTTCCCTCCCCTCCCCTCTCTGGGAGTGATGCATCATAGTTAAAATCCCTTTCTTGTGGAAGCAGCACATTTTATGTAGCATTTTTTGTTAAAAAAATTAGTCCTGGTCACCCCTGTTCAGAAAGTAGAGCTTTCTTTCTCCCCCAAAGGGCCTGTTTCTCATACATACACATATACACTAACTTTAATACTAATACCACTCTGAAAGGTGAAGGAAGAAATTCTTCAACAAGGGATACATATAAAATAACCCACAAACCCCCAGAAAACACTTTGCAACCCCTTTGAGGGTCCTGACTCCTAGGTTGGGAAACACTGC